ACCACCATGAGTACCCCAATAATGAATTTTACTCTATTTTAAATTTTTCCATGGGTTTATATTTTCTAGATGAATATTAACAAAATGGGGTTTATTGTAAAGTTTCAAGAATGCAAGCTTTGATCTTCAAATATTTCGTGTCGGTCTATTTAAAATGTGTTGTATTATCATGTTGATAACTATAGATTCACATATACTACATTACCAGTTATATATTTGTACTAAATGATGTGACTAAGAAACTTTTTTAGATGTAAGCTCTTTATGTACTCTTTCATAGAGTATAAAAGATGCTATAAAGCTGCTGCACTTATGAAATTTAGTATTGCCATTGAGTTTTTTTAAAGTTCAGATTGACATCTTGAAAGAGTAGTAGTTCAGTAGATAAATCAAACATATACTTATTAGCCGTATTGCGTAATCTGCCTCTCAAAAAACAAGTTTGAGTTTTGTTGGATCAATTTTTTCTTAAAGTAACTGTAATTATTTTTTAAGTTTGATTACTTCAATTTTCAGATTGTTTGATTTGTTTATTTCTCATTCAATTTGTTTTGTTTAATTTGCATGTCTAGGCCACATTGGTGGAAGTTCACAAATGATGATAAATGGGACACATTTGTCAGTTGATGATGATGGAGCTATTGAATGGATGAATGTAAATCACTTGGAGCTATTGAATGGAGCTATGTAATAGGTTGTTTATTATGCATTATTGATAGATAAAAAATACTGCAAAAATAGACTATTTATAAATTAATCATTATTTAACTAAATGTTCATCATTATTAGACATTATTCCTCCATTAGACATTATTGAAGAAGTGTGACTTATTTTAAGGGTAGTTTAGGTATTTTATTTTTAAAAGTTTACGAAAATAACTAACAGGCAACTTATTTTGGGACGGAGAAAAAAGGCAAACATGCAATTTAAAATGGAACGGATGAAGTATGTTATTTATACGTACATAATTTTATCTATTCGTATTCTTACCGTGCATCGCACGGGTTAGAATCTAGTTATTTGAATGGAAGCAATAAGGACACAATAAGATTTTTTTATTTTCATTTCTATTTTATTTATCTAGGACAATTTGTCAATAGAATATTTTCGTATTTATTATCGAATGACAACGGACTATGATTAATTCCTCTTTGAAGGATATGATGTTTCTCGTTTGTAATTTAAAATTTATTTGGACTTACATATTAGTATATACAGTTTGTCCATACTCGTTCAGTCATACCCCAACTGAGATTGGTGTTTTATTCCAATAAAGGTACACCATTACTGGACATTATTTCTCACACTAGACATTATTAAGTATTATTTAGGAAATAAAAAAGTTTAAGTACTTTGAGAAATGACTAATTTTTAGTCTTATATAATGCAAATGTTTCTTTAATATTAAACTCAATCCATAAGTTATACTCCATATTTCCGTTACATTGAGCATGCAAAATTTTATCAAACGTTATACCAAATCCCACCTATTAATGAATGCTTGTGTCTACTAGACTCGTACCCGTACGTTGCACGGTCTAATTGTAAACTACTTCGGCCGTCCCTTAGGAAAAGCATTGATGAAAGAAAATGATAAAATTAAATTATAATTATATTATAATAATAACATATAATCAAATATTAAAAAATTGTGAATACAATACATGTTCATCATGAAAGCTCACTTTCATCGAATTTCCTCCTCTTATCCAAGCCGGAATAAAGTAGACACCAACGACTCGTAACATAAATATCCAAATGGTTCGACTATTGTCAACATCGGCAAGTACATTTCACATACTCTTTGAATGTATAGAGACATTTTTTGAAAGTGGGACGAATTGGGATGAGAGGTAAAAAATGTCTGGAGTCTAATTAGTATATTAATTGGATAATCAATTTACCCATTAAATGTCTTGATTGAATGAATCTATTTATTTAATATGATTTGACATAAAGTATGTATGAAGCCACGCACCAATTCTACTGCGCACGCGATTTAGCAATACACTACCCATTTATTTATCTTGATTTGACATAAAGTTTGTATTGCGTCACGCACCAATATTACTACGCACGCAGTTTTATATCAATACACAACTCATTTATTTATTTTAATTTGACATAAAATTTGCATGGAATCACATATTAACTTTACTACACACGCGGTTCCATATCAAAAAAATACTCATTTATTTATTTTGATTTGACATAAAGTTTGCATTGAGCAACGCACCAACATTACTACGCACGCAGTTCCATATCAATACACTACCCATTTATTTATTTTGATTTGACATAAAGTTTTCATCAAGTTACACGTCAACATTACTATACATGCGGTTCCATATCAATATACTACCCATGTATTTATCTTAATTTGACATAAATTTTGCATCGAGCCACGCACCAACTTTACGACGCACGCAGTTCCACATCAATACACTACCATTTCTTTATTTTGATTCGACATAAAGTTTGCATCGAGCCATGCACCAACATTTCTACGCACGCAGTTCCACATCAATACACTACCATTTCTTTATTTTGATTCGACATAAAGTTTGCATCGAGCCACGCACCAACATTACTACACACGCAGTTCCATATCAATACACTACCCATTTATTTATTTTGATTTGACATAAAGTTTGCATCGAGTCACGCACCAATTTTATATGGCACGCGGTTCCATATCAATACACTACCCATCAAGACCTTTAAACTCGGAGAAAACATTGTCTTTGAACTCTTTTGAGAAATGTGAGCCATAAATATGAAATTTCAAATAGAGTTGTTTAACGAAGTGGCGCTCGAAGAAGTGCATATATAATCCCTAGCGAATGAACTAATTACTTACACATTAAATTCTTATATTGTGCAAACTATTTATTTAATGATTTGACCTAAAGCTTGACACTATACTCCATGAAGTGTCATTACTTTACTTTATGGAACCACGCACCACATCACGGAGCAAAGCACCACCGATTGAACAACCCATATAAAGTTGATTTGACAAAACTCAAAGATACCTAGGGAATAGTTGATTTGACAACTCATATAGAGTTGATTTGACTTAAAGCTTGGCAAGATGCTCCATAAAGTATCATTACTTTACTTTATGGAGCCACGCACCATATAAAGCAAGTCTATTCAATAGCCATAAAAAGAAATAGCCCAAATTCGGCCCAACAATGCTAGGCCCAAAACCGGCCCAACAATGCTAGGCCCAAAACCGGCCCAAATGAAGGTGGTAAAATAGGCGGGAACACTGTTCACAATGTCATCTTAGCATTGTATATAGGAGGATGTTCTAAAGTGAAATTTGTCTTTGTGTATATTTTGTTATGATTATGTGTATATTTTGTTATGTATTTGTATACATATTTCACAGTGCAATTGGTTAACCAATCTGTCTCGGCATATTTTTGTGTACATATTTTAAAGAAAAAAATATGTGTACAAATTTCTCAGCCAAAATTTGTGCACATATTTACGTATAAATAAATAAATATATCAATATTCGAATCATAAAATGTATCAATACTTTCGTAAATGTATCAATGCTTTCGAATCATAAAATGTATCATTACTTTTGTAAATGTATTTATACTTTAATTATTATTGTATAAAAAAGCAATTGGTCAGGCAAACTGTCTCGGCATAAGTCATTTCGTAAATGGTATCAATACTGGATTTTTTTGAAGGACAAAGATAGACAGTTTTTGACACCTATTTATTTCGGCCACACATTATTTTCATAAAGAAGCTTAAGACTCAAAAAAAATGTTGTAAGAAATAATAGCAATCAGAAGTTGATCATTCAAACATGGTTGACTTTGAAGAATTGGAAATGGCTTCAAGTCGAACATGGGAAATTACTCCGATTTAAAGTTTTCACTTCGGTATTTTTGAAAAAACCCAAGAGCTTATCATTGCTAGCGGTTTTCAATATATATATATATATATATATATATATATATATATATATATATATATATATATATATATATAGTAAGAAAGAAAAAGAAAGAAAATAAAAGAGATTTTTTAATATTCATATGTTGGTTGGTCTAAATAAAAGAAAAAATAGGAAAGAAATACCCTCATCATTTCTAAAAAGAATGTTCCCCATCCATTTTTCACTCGTCTTAGAAAATTGTTTCACTCTCGATTAAAAATAATTACTTTTACCTCACCATATTTGTTTAATAACTTACACAATTTCCATATATAGTGTAGCCTCAAAGCTCTCTATGCTTCATTATTGCAGATAATTGTGGTCCTAGCCAGCTCATAATATAAAAAAATACTCATAAACATAGGAATAATTGTTTTTCCTTTTAAACACATTTTCTAATAATTGTACAGAAGCAATGTTTGGAGTTTATTTGTATGATATATGATAAATGCACACCTACCATTCATAATTAGGCTAACTTTATTAAATTTTCACTACTCAAAGAAGAAATATCGAGCAATCGGCAAACTTTATTTTTCTTAACCAAGGTCCAAGAAAGTGATTTTCTTTAGTGCAGTTGTAAATGTGATCTCGAGATGTTTCTCATTTGTCTTTTTTTACTCAAAGTTTTTTAATTTTAGTTTTGATATGTAGAAGAAATACATTTTATTATGATATAATAACTTTATTATCAATATACTCATATTTTATTATGATATAATAACTTTATTATAAAGTATATTTACGTATAAATAAAGATTTCAGCTCAATCTTCGGTTCGAAATATTTATAATTTCGAATTTTGGTCCACCTGACCATTACCCGATTATTAATTTATACTGATAGACCGATAGACCGAGACCTAGCCTATCTATCGGCCCAGTGATTACCACTCAAATACTCAACTCTACCCGCCGGGGCCGGCCCATTAATTGGACAAGCAGTACGACCAGGCCAGGCCCAACAATTTAAGGGGCCTAATTTTTTTTAAATATATTACTCCGTATATATATTGAAGCCCCAGCGAAGCTAGCCCTCCTATTTTCTTTCCACAGCAGGGCACGGACGGAAATTGAAAAAGACGCCAGAAGAAGTCGCCGAGAGAGAGTCGCCGCCGACACCCAGACGCCGCCGCCCTCCTGCACGCTCCACTGCTCCAGAGTCTAGCCGCTTCCGGCCAGACGCCGCCTCGACGGAAACTCTCCAGCCTCCAGGTCCAGGATTCCAGGTACGGAGGTAAAAAAAAATACCAATTTCAGAATTTCTTTAAGAATTTTACAATTTGTTATGTGAAAATCTGAAAATATTTAATCTTTATAAATTTGTGTTATGAATTTGTTATGATTTTTTGTTGTGAATTTGACAATTTATTATATGAACTTGTCATGTGAAAAATTGAAAATCTTTATTTGAAATTTTTGTTATGAATTTGTTGTGAAAATCTGAAAATCTATTAATTTAATAATCTGAAGATTTTTTTTTCGGAAATTCAAAGTTTGTATTTGTGTATTTGATTTCACTAAGATGTGAGCAATCAATTTGCTCTAAAAAATGCAAGGAGAAATTTACGAATTCCCGGCTAGCTTTTACAATATGTAATTATACTACTATGAGTTTGTCATTTACTTATTTTCATTTAATACTATTGGGTTAATTGTTATTTAAATATATTTAGTTTACATATTTGAATTGTTTAGACCAAGTGGGAATTAGAGATAAGACTTCTAAGGCCTTTTTTTCCTGCAATTGCATAATTTTCATAATTTCATGGTTATCACATCTTCCCCAGATTGTCATGGTTATCATATCATCAAATTGCATAATTACAGGCTCCTGCATTTCTATGAATGTTTCACGTTTAAGAAACAATTATCTATAAAATCATAGCAATTAATTGCATATTATGAATCATTCATTTTTTTCTTTCCAATTTTAAAAGTTTAACGAGGCTACTTCGTTATAGTTGTGTAGTAGATGGTGATTTGATACACTAATTTTAGCATCTCTGCTCCCAGACATTTCTATTGTTTCAGTACTAATTAATATTACAAACTTGTTTTATAGATTGAGGACTACTAGCACAGTTTGCTACTTTTCCAAGGCCTTAGGTAAATATGCATCAAATTAACTTTATTAGAAAAAAGAGCAGAAAACTGTGCCTGGGTATGCCCTATTTTGAAAGATTAACTATCGGATCCCTCATATTTTTAAAATATACTCTGGGATATCCTGGATTTTGAAAAATTTAACTGTTGGGTAACACACATGTTTAAAATATACTCTGAAGTACCTCCAAATGTATATTAACTTACCCGTGAGGAACATTTTGTTTCATTCGAAAATTTCGATTAAACTGGATAGATTGTATCCTTAAAGTATAAGAACTAAAGGTTATTTTTAGAATTCCAAACACCTACTCCCTCTGTCTACCATAAATCTTCCTGGATACTATTCACAGGATCAAACTTAAATCACTTCCTTTGCTTATTTTTACTACTCATTTTATAAAATAATATAGTCTTGTCACCTCATTTTTGTAGAACTTTTCATTTAGTTTATTACTGTATAAATTTTACATTAAAATTTTACCCCTATATTCAAATAAATTAAATAGAAAATAAAGTCGGTCAAGCCTCGTACTGCGCAATGGGAAGATCTTAGGTGGACGGAGGGAGTATTTCTTAAAATTATTGGCATAAGTGGCTTTGACGGAGAGTGTGACGGAATGTCACTCACGGGTAAGTTAATGTGTATTTGGATTTTGGAGGTATCCCGGAGTATATTTTAAAAATGCTAGGTTCCCATTAGTTGGTTTCTCAAGATAGAGGGTACATCGGAGTATATTTTAAAAATGTAAGGTGTCCGACAGTTAGTTTCTCAATCTAGGGGTACTCAGGAGCACTTTTCTGAAAATAGAGAAGTAAAACACTTTTATTGAGGATATCCTAAAGACAAACTAAAACACTCGGGCACTTTGGGGTATAATCTTTTTAGGGAAGTCATAGGTTCTCTTCTTTTCCTCTCAGCAACAAAACCGTTCAGCCCAAAACCGTTCTCTATAAGCGTTCTCAGCCCCTCTTCTTCAACAAAACCGTTCTCCATAAGCAACAAAACCTCCTCCGTTCTCCATAAGCCCCTTCTCCGTTCTTCCTCTTAGCCCCTCCTCCATTCTTCCTCTTAGCCCCTCCTCCGTTCTTCCTCTCAGCCCCTCCTCCATTCTTCCTCTCAGCCCTTCCTCATCACTGAACTACTTTCTCTTCTTCACCCTAGCGGCTCTGCCTCCCTTCTTCTCCATTGTTACTCCATTTGAATTGAATTGCTCCAGACAACAACGATCCGTGCATCCAAGTTTGATCTATAACGGGCGGTGACGAACTCTGAACTCTAGATATGACAGTTTTGTACTAATATGCTCTTTTGTTTACAGATCGAAATATGGGATTACTTTGTGAGTTTGAGTTCGTTTTGTGTTTGACGTTTTCACTACCTGTTTGGATTTGTTGTTCCTATTGGTCGAATTTGACACTTAATGTGTCTTTTTAATCTAAATCTGCATTCACTTACAATTTTAAGCTCAAATCTGCTTGAGATCGGCCAGAGTTGGATGCTTATTTGTTTGCTTAATAGTGCATTAACATGAGTGGGTAATTTGCATAGCTTTGGGTTGGTTTATGAGATTTTGAATTATGAAATTGGTAGCAACTTGTTTGGTTTAAGAAACTGTGTGTTTGGATGTGCTTGTATCCTAATTGGAATAGATCCCTGTGCCAAAATGTAGGTTAAGAAACTGTGTGTTTGGATGAGTATTGCTTCCTCGCTAACATTTAATCTTTTTTAATGAAGGTTTATTATGGAATTGAATTTGACTTCTATTTCAATTGTGTATGTTTACTATCATGAGCATTGTTTTTTTTGCTGAAAGTTACCATCTTTTGTTTTGGGTTTTGTTATAGGGATGATGCAACAGCCCTTCATGATAGAAAATGGCATTGGTGATAATGAAAAAAAAAGACCAGTACTTCAGGTATCCATCCCATGCTTTTTCCTATCAGGGGCAAAACAATTACGGGGTAACATAGTCAATTCACATTAACCTTTTGAACGTCCCGAATTGAAAACAATTCCCATTTTTTTTAAAACTGAGGGCGTATCTATTCATACACAGAAAAATGTTGTATGGGATGGAGTGTAAAGCAGCAAAGCAAATGGTGGACATGAATAATAATAAATAAAAAATAGAAAAGGGCGTGATTTGATCCATGTTGCTGATCCCACTTATTGGGATTAGTCTTGTTTGTTTTCAAAGAAATAATAATTTTGTTTGTATGTACACTAGCATTTCATCCTCCTTTATATATATGTGTCAGGATGTGGAGTCGACAGTTGGGGGTGACATGAGTCAACTTCCAGATGAAATTCTTGAGTACATTCTGAATAAATTGATACTTAGGGATGCAGTTAGAGCAAGTTTGGTATCATCTAGATGGAGGCATCATGTTCTGTCCCGACCTTGCCTTATTTTCAAAACCTGTAGCATGTTCAAAATTGAGGGAGCCTCAGAAGAGAAATGTGTTTGTTCAGAATACAAAGATCGATTTGTGCGAGCTGTATATGACTTCCTTGCTTCATATAGAGGCGTGCGAATGAAAAAGTTGTCTGTTCATTTCTGCCTGAAGACTGTTTCCAAGAACGTCGTCTCAGACTGGATGAGTTTAGCTTGTGGTTTAGGTGTGGAAGATGTTGTGTTTGAATTATATTGTGAAAATTTGGAATCCAAAGTGCGATCGCGTAGTACTCGGCTTCTGGAGATTTTCCCAAGTCAACAACCGATTGTTTTAAAGTATCTAAGACTATCTGGCTGTGATGCTTTTGCAGTCAGTCTGTTCACCCGGCTACAGACCCTCAACCTTTATTACACGTCTTTGGATTCTCATGTTATGGAGAGTGTGCTCTCATCGGGTTTAGTAAATCTTAAGACGTTAATATTTCAACACTCCAAATTGCCTCCCTATTTAAGCCTTAACTCACTCCCCAACCTACAACATTTCATGGTTAATTTTTGCTCTGGATTGGAAAAAATTGACGTGGCTAGTCTTAAGCTCAAAATTTTGAAAGTTCACTGCAATAGGACTGTTTCAGTGGAGCTCACGCGGGTTCCCAACTTGAAACGATTGAGTTACACGGTGCATGATGGTCCCAGCATATGCCCCTTTTTTCCCAAGCTCCCACAAATTCTTCCTTATTTGAAAATTTTGCATGTGGCCTCTAGTTGCAAATGGGTAAAGATCAAATGCCTTTTTTTTTTGTTTTTGTTTGTTTTTTGTTATATACTACTGCTAACTATCACTACCATGTGTATATGTTTTCCTTTTGCAGGTTGAGTACATGCCAGAAAGCATAGCTACATTCTCCAAACTTAGGAGTCTAAAACTGTCAATGGCCTCTAAAGTGGAAGATATCATGTTTAAGATTTTCCAGTTTCTGAAATCTTGCCCTAGACTCTCTAATCTGACCATTAAGGTGAGTGATTCATCCCATTTTTTGATCTTCTCTCCCACTTTAGTTAAACAAATTATTCACACCCGTGGAATGTACAAAAATTAAACACCATCCGCGTAAGTTATATTTTGTGAGGACGACTGTGATTTGCATGCAGTTTAAATCGAGTCCACGAGAGGACAAGGAACATGAGAAGCTGGAGTGCATGGATGATTATTACCATCATAAACATTTGAAGTCGATTAAAATCCATGGATTTGCATGCACCAAAAATCAGATCGAGTTTTGCAAGTATTTACTGAAACTTGCCCCTTGCATGAAGAAGTTAATATTACCTCATTGTCGAGAAGAGTGCAAACATCAAGTGAGTGAAGAAGAGGGTGAAACTGTAATAAATGCATTGAAACCATTTTTAAAGGGTGTGAAACTGCTTGTCTTTTAATTTGAGGAAATAAACAACTCGTAGGTCTTCCTTTCTTAAGCGGGATGGTTCTGGTCTGGGATGGAGAAACTTTTTTTTGTGTGGAAACACAACACACTTCTATATTGTTTACATTCAACCATGTTCTCTACTCACTATGTACTAAATTTGTGACAATTCTATAAAGAAATTTCATTTACCATTTCAAGAAAATTTCATTTATCGTTTCAAGAACTCTATCCTCGAAGAAATTATAGCTTTTCATATGTTGCCCTACCCTACTATACTCTTACTCTTGAGAAGTGAATTTGAGTTAAAAATCAAGAATTTGATTGAGATTTCAACATCACAAACTTCATCATTAACCACACCAAAGATCCTCTCCATTTTTTATTTTAATTATTTCGTATGTATAGGTTTTTGAGTGAGATGAATGGAGATGGAAGATAGGTCTAAGCATGAGGAGAAATAAATTCCCAAAACAACTTTGCCTAAGACTTGAGTATTTATTTGGAAAAGTAAACTTCTCTAATTTAGTTTTTGATTTCTTTAGATTTTTTTAATCTCTTTACTGCTACATTTTTTATTTTACTAATATTTTGACCAATGAGTACGAAATAAATTTTTGTCCATTCAAAAAATATTTTTCAATGCAAAATTTATAGTTCAAAGAAAATTTATTTCTAACAATTTTTTTTAACCCGAGACCATCCGGTGTGCACGACACCCCACATGGCCTAATTCCTAACCAAATTAATTGGTGATCCAATCAATCAATTCAATTCAGGTCCGCCTGATTATACTCGATGACCTATTTCAGATATTAATTATAATTCGTAATTATCACCGATAAGATTTATTTAATTCAAGTCACAATTTAATCATTATCAAGCATATCAAAAAGTGGCATATTGGGGACCGGAAGCCCACCAATTACCATCATGCATAGCCAATCAATCCCGAAAATGACTTATGTTTTAGTCTTTATCAATGCAAATTTCACTAAAAATTAAAACATGAAGTGTTTTTAGAAATGGAAGAAATATGAAATTTGATTTTAAAATTAAAATAAAATAGAGTTTGTTCTCATTTATGGAATACAAAATATAAATCATTTCCTAATGTAGGACTTAAACTTTTTGATTCCCTAAATATGACTTAATAATGACTAGTGAGAAGAATAATATCTAAGTAATGCTGGATACTTAGTTGAACAATGACTAATAGATAATGACTAATGGTCTTACATTGGAAAATAAAAAAATATGATCTTATATTGAGAAAGTCATTATCTTTTAGCTATTTAAGTAAATTATTCTAAATATTTAGCCAATGAGTAACACTCTTTATTAATAAAAAAAATCAAACACAATATAAATAGATACGTAGTACATGTTATTTCGTATAAAAATTTGAGATATCAAAACTATTTATATATTCTAAGATGACCCAATTATATTAATATATTGCTTCATACAAATCAATATACTTTTCTTATAGTTTGTGATCAAAGAGTGTTATTATTTCATCTGTAAAAATCAAAACAGAAAGAGTTTTTAAAACAGGATTAAGAATTAAGCATATCATGGGATGACCCAGAGGTGCTCCGGTGTCCTATTCGTAAAATTGACGGTTCTTACCCTCCTAACCTCCTTGGTAAACCTCCCCCACCCTGTCCCGATCCGAACATGCCCCCCACCTCCATCAATTGCACCCCACAAGTTAATTTAGTCTTAAATAATGCAAATGTTTCTTTAATATTAAACTCAATCCGTAAGTTATACTCCATATTTCCGTTACTTGAGCATGCAGAATTTTATCAAAAAAAAACAAGGGGTACACCAAAGGTGTACCCCATTTGTCCCTCACCCCCTCCTTGTCCACATAAATGGGCAAGAAATTCAAAAAAAAATACATAAATAAAAATCAAATAAAAATGGGTGGTGGAGAAGAGGGTGGTGTACATTTGGGGTACACCTTTAGTGTACCCCTAGCATTGCTCTTTTATCAAACGTTAAACCAAATCCCACCTATTAATGAATGCTTGTGTCTATATATACTCCGTAATACGGAGTAATAGAATTTTGCAGGGAAGAATATTATTAATTTGAAGGGGAAAATGCATAACAACCCCCTATGGTTTCAAAAAGGAGCTCCAACACCCCCCGTGGTTTTAAAAGTAACTTGTAATATCCCTCTCAATGTGTAAGCCTAAATATAGTCATGTGTGATCTTGTTTGATTTGTCTTAACATATAGATTATTAATATATAATTTCTATAATTTTTTAATATACAAATTACAAGATAAAATGGATTAAAGAAGTGTATTGAATGGTGTATAAAAATGAAAGTAGACAAATATTCTGGGACGGAGGTAGTAAATCACAACAAATTTATTGATAGAGTATATATAATTTATTCATTCATAAAAGTAAGGTTACAAAACACATGTCATAACTAATTTATTTTGTCAAATTTAAAAAACACAAACTTAGACATAATTGAAACCCATAATATAGCTATTGTTCATTGCGGCGTCGCCATGATCGGTAGTCCATGTTATTCGGATGACGAGTTCTTGTAGGTCGATTGATTTGTGTCCTTGCTCGTGCAGTTGGTCTCACTATCTCGTATCCTGGAATAGGCCATTCGGCCTCATCGGGAAGCGGCATTATGATGTCCGGATAAGCGTTAATGTAGGATTGGATTGAAAAAACATTAGGAATCAAATGATCCACGGTGACATTACACTGATCGGGTGCGTATCGAATAACAGTCAATTCAAATCAGATGGGGTGCATGTGCACCCTTTACAAACCAGAGGGATATTACAAGTTACTTTTAAAAACACGAAGGGTGTTGGAGCTTCTTATTGAAACCATAGGAGGGTGTGGTGCATTTTCCCCTTAATTTGAAGGTCACAATACTTTCAGAAAAAACAAGCTAGTATTTTTTTATCAACCATGGACGGTTATAAATTAAGAAGTACTAATTACCTGTAATTAGTACTTCTTCAAGTGGTACAATTAATCAAAGCATGTGTAACATTTCTTTTTTGGGTTTTTTCTTCTCTCTTTACTTAAAGATGATCTTTTTTTACGCAAAAAAAAGTAAATTTGTTTAATTCGCTCAATGCATGTAAAGAAACACTCTACTACTATATTTTGTTAGACAATAATAATAAATATTGCTTTTATGATAGTCTATTTATTTTAGTTAGCTTCAATTCCATTATTGATTCTTAATCTCAATTGGGTTTGTACTGCTTTCTAAATACTTCCTCCGTCCCGGAAAATATGAGAGTTTTGATTTTGAAGAATGATTTAAGGGAATGTATTTTGGTATTGAATTTTTAAAAATGTCTTTTGATGTGATGGGTAAAAGTATGATTTGATGGATATATTATTAGTAAAAAGGTATGATGTGATAGGTATGATATGAAAAAGTAAGGGGTAAAAGTGACTTTTTAATAGAAATGAGAAGTGTTTTTTGAAACTGATGAAAAAAAGAAGAAGAAATGTTTTCTGGGACGGAGGGAGTATATTTTGTAATCTATTTTATTATTTCTTAGATAATATAATTGTTCCATTATTCAATATATATTCATATATAGACCTGACAAAACTGACCCGAACCCGATAACCAGAACCGAATAACCCGGAACCGAACCCGATTTGACCCGAAAACTGAACAACCGAAATAGAACCGAACACCCGAAATAATCCGAAACGAACCGAACCCGAACCGAATGTATTCAGACCCGGTTCAGACCCGAATCCGATTAAACCCGAACCGGTTAAACCCGAACCCGCTTAAACCCGAACCCGGTTAAACCCGGAACCGATTAGACCCGAACCCGATTAGACCCGAAATTGATCAAACTCATTAATATTTCATTTATCAAATGAATTTGGAGAAAACGAATTACCTATATATTTTTACATATGTTGATGTGTTTCTAAAAAAAGATATTTAAATTATGGGTGCAAACCATGTAACTACTTTGCAGTTTATAACTTAAGTTAAAATACTTTTGTATTTTTATAGAAAGTATATAAAAATTATAGTTAACTAAATTAACTAAATTTATTATGTGATTTATTCATTTATTAGTATGCATGTGTTTACATTATACTTGAACTAATATAAATTTAAATCGATATAAACTCAAATCTATATAAACCCAAATCAATACAACCCGAATTGATACAAACCTGAATCGATATAACCTGAACCGATACAAACCCGAACCGATATAAACCCGAACCGATATAAACCCGAACCGATACAAATCCGAACCGATACAAACCCAAACCGATACAAACTCGAACCGAAACCGAAAACCAATCAAACCGAAATAAACCCGGAACCGAACTGACCCGAACCGAACCGACCCAAACCGATTATAACATATATCCGAAAAAGACCCGAACCGGAACCGAACCGATTGACCCGATTGCCAGGTCTATTCATATATAGTTATATGCTCGGTATGTAACCAATGATTAATCTCCTCTTTGGTAACTAAGGAAAATAATTGAGATGAAATAGAGAGGTACCGAGTAAGAAAGAAAATCGATGAGATTTTTTAATATTCATATGTTGGTTGGTCTAGATAAAAGAAAAAATAGGAAAGAAATACCCTCATCATTTCTAAAAACAAAATGTTCCCCATCCATTTTTCACTCGTCTTAAAAAATTGTTTCACTCTCCATTAAAAACAATTACTTTTACCTCACCATATTTATTTACTTACACGATATATAGTGTAGCCCCTCAAAGCTCTCTATGCTTCATTATTGCAGATAATTGTGGTCCTAGCCAGCTCATAATATCAAAAAAAAATACTTATAAACATAGGAATAATTGTTTTTCCTTTTAAACACATTTTGTAATAATTGTACAGAAGCAGTGTTTGGAGTTTATTTGTGTAATATATGATAAATGCACACCTACCATTCATGATTAGGCCAACTTTATTAAATTTTCACTCAAAGAGTCAAAGAATTGAAGAAAAATCGAGTAATCGGCAAACTTTATTTTTCCAAACCCAGAGAGTGATTTTCTTTAGTGCAGTTTTAATAAATATGGTCTCAAAATGTTTCTCATTTGTCTTTTCTTAGTCAAAGTTTATAAATTTTAGTTCTGATATGTCGAAAAAATACATTTTATTCTGATAT